ATAAATTACAAATTTGAGAGACAAATTAAAGTAGATTAAGTTCTTATATATTTAGGACTAAATCTAAAGCCCAATTAATTCTTATATTGAGAAGGGAAGGTAGCATATTAAACCCGTCTAAAATTTAAACTTAAATTAGTGAGTAATACTAAATATTTGATGTTTTGTTGGGAAAATTAAACAAGACTGAAAGAAGGAAATAGAATCTCAGCAAAAGCCAAAGACTGATCTTCCTTCTTATTTCAAATGTTGAAATTTCAAAATAAATAATGTTCTCTTTTATGCATGCCAAGCAGAACAACGAAAACAACCACCATGTGTTGATTTTTTTGCCCAGGACAAACAATTAACAGATACCCTCTTATTGATGACAATTTTTTTGCTCAAAATTTCAAATTTCATATTTTTTTGACCAGCCAAAATTCTATGTTTGACATAATAAAAGTAAGATGGAAACATTTTTATTATATGCACATTATGTTATTTTATATTTATTATTTTTTCAAAAAAAATTATTTTTTATGCCTTTAAATGTATTTTTTTAGTATGTATATGTATTCTTCAATGGAAGACAAATCTATTTGAGATACTGTCGACACTAAATATAGACACCTCTTTTAATAAAAATTCGAACCTTAATTCACTAAGTTGTAAGAGAACTTTTTTTTTTTTCCCACTAGACTCAACGTCCTTAGTCTTTTAAAAGCATTTTGAATGAACATACAAATACACTAGATTGAGGCTAGATGAAGAAAAAAATTAAGAAAAAATTATTTATATACTTTTCCGATCCTTAATATATAACTAATTATTGAGTTGGTTTTGATTCTAAATATAAAATCATTTCTTATATTTATCAATTTTCTCTAAATTACCCCTATGAATACTCTTTCAACTATAATCAAGTAGAAGAGAAAGAGGGGATATTAATAAAGATGATTATAGTATTTTAGAAAAAATGTGTTATATTTCTTATAATTAATTAATTTATCTAATTTTTTAAATATAATCAAATTAGTTAAATGAGTTTTATATTAAGAATCGGAGGAGTATATTACCTTCTTTACTTGTAATTTAAAACTAAAAATGTTCCCCCTGGCTAAAGGCGCGTGTTTTCCTTTAGCGTAATACTGTCCGTTGGATGTAGACAGAGAGAATATGATGGGCACATGATGACGAAAAGCCGAAGTTTGACTTCTTGACTGAATCAAGGCGCAATGTGGAGCGTGCAAATCACGCTCTCATCACCCCCCAAACATTTCCATTATTGTCAAAGAAAACTATAATTTTGATTTTAAACTTTTCTTCAATTATTAATTTAGTCTTTAAAATTCAAATCAATAAAATTGGATTTTTACAATTTTCCAACTCGATAGAACTCAATTTTTATTTATCGAATTAGAACAGTTCAGCCCCTATTATCATTAGCTTAATAAATTATAAGGGCGGATTTGCAATTAATCATAATTTAGGAACTAAATTAATAATTACGAAGAAATTAGGAATTAAAAGCTGTATTTCCCCTATTTTAAATTGCAAGGACACGTAATGAAGAAATGATTGGATGATGAATTTTCAGAAAATGATGATTTATTATCATTAGTATTAATCAACTAATAATAATATTAAAATAGGGTTAGAAAAGTTAAACCCACCCTGGCCACACACATTCAACCAACAAATAATTAGATGCCGATAAGGCAAGAAATGGGTGAGGCTCTTGCATCAATTAATCATTATATTTATCTCATCTTGATCGTGGGATCAAAGTCAACACTCATACATTGAGTTTTCAAATCATAATAATTAAAATTTTGTCATAAATTATGCGCCCATATAGTATAACATGACAAATATGGTGCGTGTGAGAGGCAATTGTAAGAGACAATATTAAGGTAAGGGAATAATTAAAATACTACATAATTTTTCATAGTATAAATATAAATATAAGATCCCAATTCATTTTAAGTTTTAAAACTAATTGACTTAACTTATAAATTAATATATAATCTAGTATTAGACAAAGATTTTTTAGAGAGGTCAAGTCACATTAGTTATAATTAACTAATTTATTTAATTGTTTAATATAGTCAAATTAATTAAATAGCTTTTATATTAATGATAGGAGTGAGTATTAAGTAGATTATGATAGCATCTCAATTTAAGTTTTTAAATTCAATACTTCATTTTTTTCCTATATTTTAGCGCTAAAAATCTTTATAAAATCCTGCTTTAGTATTAATCTTTTTATAAAGTTTTTAGTTGTCATTCTTCCTAATTCATTTGATGTATGTGAAATAGTGTCTTTGCTTTTTATCTTTAGACCACTGTTATCAAACTCGTGAGTTGACTCTCCAAATTTAATATTTTTACGTTTTCAGTTAATAAAATCGTGTTAATTTACTCTTGAACTCATGATAACTATAAACTTGATTAAATTTACGAGTTTATTTATTGAATTTACCATTTTTACGTTTTAAGCTTACAAAATAGTGCTAATTACTCTTAAACTCGTGCTAAATTTTTGGATTTGATTTTGTTTAGTGACTTTATATATGAATTTTATAAAAATTTCTTGGTTGAATGTGATAAAATTATGAACATTGATGGATATAATTTCAATTATTTAAATTTAAAATATATTTAAAGGAAATTATTCTCATTTTTTATATATTAATGATTTGATTATATACTGTTAATACTAGTTAATTAATAAAAGTAAACTCTTATGAGTTCACGATTCAAGTTTACGATCCGAGTTTATATCATTCTCACGAGTTTGTTTAAACTCACGAGTTTGACAACTTTGCTCCAAACCATTTTTTTTTCCTTTTATTTTTTGGTCAGCCTACTATTTTTCCCCCCTTAGTTCTATACTCCCTCCCTCCCTTTTATAACCTCTCTCATAGCAGTATCTCTAAATATATAAGAAACAAAATTTTTTTGTATAAAATTTAAATTTTTTTTTTTACTTTTACTCCCATTAAATATATGTCATTTATCATATCTCAGTAATAAATTTTACCTATTATCTGTCATGTACTCTCTTTACAAATAAAAATATCATTAAAAAATATGTATATATCTTACACATTTATTATTTTTAATTAAATTTAACTAGCATTTTGAACTGCATAATTTTAGTTGTTGTTCTTTATATTAGAAAAGGAGGGGATAATATTTAGTTAAACTTCTAGGCACATATTTTAATCTAAACGAATCTGATGAATTTCAGATCTCATTAGAATTAAAAGTGTTAAGGACTCTCACAACTTCAATGAGAATTTACTGAAAAACTTACTAATAATCCATTAGGGAAGTTTTTGTCTTGATGATAAGATATTAATATTACCGATCTTTTTAATAAGAAACAAATAACTAAATTATTAAACCTAATAAATATGATTAAAATTAGTTCTAGGCAATAAATCTTATATATACATATTTTTATTCAAAAATACCCTCATTTAAAAAAATGATAAATAACTTTTAATTTGTCACGAATATCATTCTTCTTTTTGATGAGGATAAAAAAGAAAAATTATAATAAATACTTTGAAAAAAATGTTAGAGATAGGATCAAAATTAATAAAATCTATTGGAGGTAGTAGTTACTCCCTTCGTCTTTAAATATAAAGAAATTTTAATTAACCCATTTGGTATAAAATATTTAGTTTAAATATATCAAAAAAATATTTAGTTTACCCTAATAATTATGTCTCAATTATTTATTTATTTATTTTACCGAAATGCCTTTATGACTAATACTTACGGTTTTTCCTAATTTAATAATGTTATTTAGTGAAGAGTGATTAATGAGGGGAATTTTTCAAAATACGTTTGAAACAGATATCAATTTTTTTTTGTACATTTGCTTATAAAAAAAGAAAACCATTTTTGAGATACTTGTACTTTTTCTTAATTTTTAATTTAATACCTACATATTTTTTATCTTAATTAACTTTGCCAAGTTAGTATCGTTATCAAAATGGTTTTCCCTAAAAAAACCTATCTTCAGCAATTTGCTTATATAAAACACTTCTTCTAATTTTAAATATAAGAAGTAGCTAACTAATATATGAAAATTATAAATTTTGATAACAGTTGGTCATTTAACATTATTTAGTTATATAAAAATAGTATAATATTCATGTCAAGTGTTTTATATTCATTGTGTCAAGTTCTCTTGTCAAATATGATCATGCGTCCCATTTTTGAAATATTAATATTTAAAGGCATTTAATTATAGATTCACGTGAACAAAAACAAAAGACACATAGCTATATGTGATTGGAGAAATTGATATAATTGATATAAGCAGATTGAACTAAGTTTTTTTTCCATAAAAATACTGTGAAGTTAAGAAAATAATGTGAAAAGAAATTAAATGAGAGAGACTATGAATATTGAAATTCTATATTTAAGATAAGAAACATTTTAACTATATCTTATATTTAAGATAGATGGAGTATCGATTTCTTTTTTATGTAAGCACATGTATCCTTCTATTAGAGGCAATTATATTTTTTTTAATTGCTATTCAAATTATGTAATCATTTTTTGGCAATAAAATTACATGGTACTCTTAATTTTTTTTTAATTCTACCCCTCCCGTCCTTAATATAAAAACTATTTAACTAATTTGATTAGATTAAGAAAATTAGATAAGTTAGTTATTTATAAGAAATTTTTTTTTAAAAATATTATAATTATTTTTCTTAATATCCTTCTATCCTCTCTTACTTGATTATAATTAAAAAAATCAATAGAAATAATTTTAAAAAAATAAATATCAAAATGTCCTCCGAAATCAATTTAATAATTAATTTTTATATTAAGTACAAAATGTCCTCCGACGCTCTAATGTAATTTCTACTTCAAGTTATGAGAAGCATACGCATTCAACAGGCGCGTGTATATTTATTTCGACAGGCAAGGCAAGTATTAGTGCCTTTCTCTCTCTAAATTTAATAAAGATGCCATCTCATGCTTCAAACTTGAGAGTCCAGACTCCCTCTTTCCCCCACTATTCTCTCTCTCTCACTCGCGTAGCAACAAGACAAACTTGCCTTTCGAATTCTCCATCAGATCTCTTTCACCTCACGGTGGGCTATCAGAAGCTCCACCACTGGTACTGTACTTTAAAACGGCGTCGTATTGAAGCAGGTGATCTCTGTGTTGTGTTGTTCAGGACAAAGCAAAGGGGCTAGATGAGGTGTCGGAAGCACCACCGGGCGGACCTGAGCAGCACCATCGGCGTCTGCGCCTCTTGTCTCCGGGAGCGTCTCCTCGCACTCATCGAAGCACAAGAGAAGGCACATCTAGCGCGCGTTTCCTCACGGTCCTCCGACGATCACCCTCGAAAATCCGACCCTAACCCTCCTCCGCTCGTCTTTCCTCGTTCTGTCTCGCCGTACGTCTCTCGGCGGAAATCGGACTATGCCAGCTGGCAGAGCTGTGACAGACACAACAGTCTCTTCTATAGCACGCCTCAGCTTGGCCCTACCTTCGGTACTGGCAATTCTGAGGCCAATTCAGGATTCCCTGGCAGAACAAGCTCGTCTTTCAAGAAGAAGACTGGGAGATTCTGGATTTTCTCAAGTCTATTTGGATCCAGATCCGATAAATTCGAGGCGAATCCGAGGATTTCTTCTCAGGAATCATGCGAACCATCGTCATCGTCGTCTCCCTCATGGTTCTCGATGATCTTTCCCACTCGCCGGAAGAAAATGGATAGGATGAACCCTCTGGAAAGTTCGACCGCCCCAGGGAGGAGGCGGTATCGGCAAGCAGATCGGGGAATGTCGCCGGTGACAAACGAAAGTTGTGTCGTCGATTGCGATCGATGCGACCGATCTCCTTCAGCCGGTGGCTACTCAGCGGAAACGTCCCCACGGTGGCGGAAAACGCCATCGACGGCACCGTGTGGGACCCGTCGTTCCCGCCACGTAAGGAACGTATCAGGCATGGCTTTTTGCTTAAGTCCGTTGGTGAGGGCGAGCCCCAACCCTCACTGGAACCCGAAGGGATTGCCTCCAGAGGTGGTTTCGGCGGGGGAAATGAGAGGCACGACGGCGGCGAAGCCTCACCTGTCCACTGCGTCGTCGTTTTGTGCAAACCGCTCAAGGAAGCTTGCTGACTTTGGGAGAGCCAACCACATCCGTTGATCTGGATGAGTATTGACCTTGGACGGTGATATTTCCCATGTGTTGTCTCTTCCTCCTCCTGGTCCTGCACATTCATTTTTTTTCCCCTTCTTATTTGAACAAAAGATAGATTCTTTTTCCAATTTTTGCATTTTTTTTTTCATTTCAAAAACCAATTTCTGTACAAGAAAGAGAAAGTGTTGTTTTTTTTCCTTTAATAGTATTATTGAGATTGAACTGCTTCTATAAAAATACATAATGATTCTTAACTTTCACCCACCTTCATTGTCGGTAAATTAAATTATACAGGACGCAAAACAGGGTAACTATTTAATATATAATATGATTAGAATTTGTTGAATTAGAATATTGTTTTGTTTTAATTTAATTTGTTATTGTTAATGTTATTTGCTATCAATGTAATAATATCTGCATTTGAATTTCATCTACCCAGTTTGATGGTTGTGAAGTGTCTTGACTCATACTTTTGATTCAATGTATATATGTCATTTAATTTGATCAATGTTGTGTTTTTGTGTCAAAAGCCATTTGTTAAACACGGTGCTGGTATTTTACGGCAAAAGCCATTTAAAAGCCTTAATTTTAAAATACTTTTAATGTGTTTTATTGACTTCCCCCCTATATTAATGTGTCTAATATCAATGCTATTTCTGATTAGTCTGTACTCTCCTGGTTTTTAATATAAGACTTAATTATTGAGTTGATTTTGATCGTAAATATAAAACCTATTTTTCATATTTATTAATTTTTTTTAAATTATCTCTATAGATACTCTTTTAACCATAATCAACAGAAGAGGGAGAGATGACATTAAGAAGATGATTATGGTGTTTTGAGAAAAATATGTCATATTTTTTATAATTAACTTACTTAATTTTCTTAATCTAATCAAATTAGTTAAATATGTCTTATATTAAGAGTTGAAAGAGGATAATATTTGAGTTTTTTCCGTTTAACAAAATATTTGCTGAGTATGAAATGAAAGGGAACGAAATTTTATCTTTTGATTTTGAATCTTTAAAAGAGTATATGTATAAGACATTAAGTTTTTCCTCCTAATTATTAGAAATTTTTGAAAGATTTTATATTGATGAAATTTGCAATAAATGGCTTTGCTGTAATCAGACATTTTCAAATTGTTGGCAAAAGAATGAGATATTTTCAAATGGAAAATAGTCATTTGCTTAAAGCTTATATTACTCTGCACTGATTAAACTAAAACAACTCTATCTTATTATCAATAATTTGTTATGCAGCCGATTTCAGTTATTAGTACTTTTATTTTATTTTTAAACTTTAAATCTATTTATAGTTTATTTGGATAAAAGTATGTAAGCTTACGAAAGTATGTAACCTTAAGGACATAAATTCCTCCTTTCACAAAGTAGCCTGAGTTATAGATATATTTAAAAAAAGGGAAAACAATCTAAATTTTTTTTTTTGAATTTTAAAATTTTAAATTAGTCTTATTTACTACACTTTAATAGTAATTAACTATACTTAAAAAATAAATGACAATACATTTTTTTAGTAATTTTTAATTTGGGGTTTTGAAATTCGAGAGGTATATTTTTGGAATTCTCCTCAAAAAAAAATTCAACTAATCTTTTGGTTTCTATGTAGTTTTAACTTTGTATAATTTGGTTTTTAAATTTTAATTTGGTACAACTTAATTCTTATTTTTAATTCAAATGCAACTATAGTTTAGCCATTTGAAAAAGTAGTCCTTATATTTTAAAAAATGAAGTTATAATTTTATGAAATTTAGAGATTACAATTTTATATAGTTAAAATTATAAGAACTCAAATATAGTGAGTTAAAATTCAAGAATTGAGTTATAAAATTTAAAAAATAAATTTTATAATTCAGTCAAAATTATATTAAGATAATTTTTTTGCTTAAATAATGATTTAAGAGAGTTTAAATAAGGTAGTAATTATATTGAAAACTTCAAGGGTTTGTTTGGCTAGAAGGAGAGGGGAGGTATTTTAATAGAGGGAAGGAGATGGGAGAAGAGTGGAATGATTTTAATATTACTTTGTTTGGACTTATAAAAAGAAAGGGGAGGGGAGGAGTTTTAATATTACCTTGTTTGGTTCATAAGAGGAGGGAAGGGGAAAATATTTTGACATAAACAATTTTGCTCTTATTTTATTTAAAATTATTTTTTCCAAATTTGATAGGATGTTTAATAAAATTGAATTGTAAATATAATTTTAATATATTGAGCAATATTTATACCAAAATTCTAATATATTCTAGAGTGTGAAGTATTATTGAAAAGAAAGCTAAAGTAATGTTCAGTCACAACTTCTACTGTATCTCATCTTTGAATGAATATTTAGTCATGCAAAGGAGAGAGTAGCGTCTCGAGACAAGAAAAAAAAATTTAAGATAGTATAGGGATATTAAAAGTAAATATGAACATAATAGTCACAACATGGTAAAATATTGTCTTTTTCCTTCAAATCCTTCCAATTTTGGAGGGGAGGGTGAGGAGGAGAATTTTTCCTCCCCTTCTAAAATTTATGTGTTGTCAAACAAAAAGAAATGATTAAAATCTTTCTTTTTCCCTCCTCTCTCCTCCAAATCCATCGTATCTAACGTATCCTGAAAAATCAGAAATTTGTACGCAAACCATGCGAGTTTTTATTTTGGCTATATTGAGCTAGTTAGGGACTTTGGGCATCCTTGGGATTTAGGTTACACTGCTAAAAAGTAAGGAGACCTTTCAAAGCAACAATGACTATTTTTAATGGATTTTCTTTATCTAAATTTTTGGTCTGTGACCACTCTTATAGGATAAAACCAAAAGTTCATGATGTTAGGGAGAACACATAGATAGTGGTGGGTCGCGGCTCCCCACTAGAATTACAAGTCAAATAAAAACTTAGTGGTGGGCCCGAGATTAAAACGCGCAGGAAGAATGATAGTTAAGTGTCAAAATATTAATTTAATAACATTTATCAATTTTAAATTGATGACCAAGGCAAAAAGTTATAATAAATAAATTTTCACATTATGTTTTGCAGTTATTTAAACTGGATTGACTAATTGAATAGATGATAGCAGGTTGGGATATTCAATTTTGTGCATATAAGAAGAGACTCCAACTCATAAAACGCATTATTTATTTTCTTGGCCAAAAGAGAAGTAATCCTATTTGGACTAATAAAAACCCCGTGCACCATATGGGTTAAGTAAAATAATTTGTGACAAAATCAAATTATTTAACTCATTAGGATATAGTTGACATCGATGAATTGTGATAAGTATGATGTCAATGATAGATAGTTGAAGTAAATAATATCAATTTATTTTTGGATCGGAAAATGACTGTCATTAAACCAATTTTGCTATATGATTATGAATAGTATTTGTGATCAGAAATAATATATTGTGTTAAAGCAATAGTGTGAAAAGCATATAGACGCACACACACAATTATTTCAAACACAGGGAACATGTAAGAAGGAAAATGTCATGAAATATATGATTGAGAAAAACTCATAATATTTATGCAATTAATGATAGTCATCAAATTGTAACTTCAATCATCTGATTCAATTTTCTCTCATTCTTCACCTATCAAGAGTTTGAACTGGTTGTTGTCAAGAAATGCATGATCAAAAGCAACTTTTGTTATGCTTTTGCAACTCCTTATTGTCTTTGCCATTGGATGAAAACTGTTGAAAATGATATTTATTGGTAAACATTGTGTGAAGAACTCATATATTCCAAAATTAATGTTTTAATAGGAGATAGCTATGAGTTATAAACATACATAGCTCCATGTTCTTCAATCAAGTATAATTGAATGAGAAGCACAATTGTTTGGTTCTTTATTTTTTGATATCTTTTATATGTATCATCTGCTGCTTCATCCTGCAATAGACAAAGCACATCATTAAATGAAAAGTAATTTTCAATTATTTCAATGAACATAATATAATATATAATGATTATGTTACGATATATATGAAAAATTCTATGTCTCAAGTCATACAAATGAAACAACGGTGTTGAAGTGGAACTGTTGTCAGAGTCTTGAGGTTCATAGCGAGAAATTTTAAGTTATTATTATAATAATTTCATAATTTTTATGTTAAAATGAATGTAAAACTTGTTAGCATTTGTGTCTTGGCTCCTCATGTACCAATTTGTGAAGATGTGTGATTTGATAAGCATTTATTTGGGATCATCTCTTAGATACAGTATAATATTAGTGTTTTGATGGAATATAAGAATGTATGGATGTGCTCTTGCCTTATATAATGAGTTATTTTAAATGCAATTAAAGTTCTTGAAGTGGTAATGACTACCTTCTGTTGTAAATATTATGTATGGGTGTGTCAAAGGAAGAGTCCCACATTGCTTGGGATTGTGAGGGTCCAAGTAATAAGTGGTCTTGGGCTACCAAATGGGCTAAGAGGAGGAGTGGACTTACGCACACAATGGGCCACCGGAGACAAATCCGGCAATTTCCCCTCATCCCCTTGTGCACGAGTCAAATGCGGTACTGGGTACTTTATTGGAAATATCTATCTAAATTTTAATTATAATTATGCGTCTTCAATGTTCGTAACCGAAGACTTTATTCTCCTTAAATAGTCATTAAATAAGTTAATTACTACTTGAAACCGCTCATTTAATTATGAGTTAATTATCATTAAGCGCGTTTAAATGTGCCCAATGATATTGTGATCCGTAGCCTATAAAAGGGGCATGAGACGGAAGTTCAAAGGGGGACCGCCGTGCTCTGAGCTTTCTGGCAACTCTCTTCCCTCCTCTGGTGTTCTGCCTTACTGAGTTCTTTTACCTTTTGCTGTTCTGCTCACCCTGTTCTTACAGGAAGAATCCGTTTAATCCTGGGGAGTGCCGCTTCTTGCTTTGTTGGTAGTTGCGGAATAGCTCTTAAGGATAGTGTCTGTAAGACACGACTCGGATTTACCGTTCTCTGCAGGTGTTGCTGTCAACAGGGTTTGCCTAGCATTATAGAGGAGGTGGAAGATCTGCTAGATCTTGGAGAATTTTGGTGCTGCCGCCAACAAT